GCGCCCCCGCCCTGCTCCCGGCAGCGGCCGCCCCCGCTCGGCCGTGACGCGGAGGGTCGGACAGGCGAGCCCGCCGGCCGCCTGCACGAGCGCGAGCGGCAGCGGCAGCCGGCAGCGGCCGCCCCCGCTCGGCCGTGACGCGGAGGGGTCGGACAGCGAGCCCACCGGGCCGCCCACACTGAGACGAGCGGCAGCCGGGGCCGGGTCGGGGCAGAGTCAGCGAGCTGGTTGTAACAACGCAGCGGCCGGGTCAGGTTGCAATCAGGTCAGGCTCAGCCTGCCGTGCCACGGGCCACGCCCCAGAGATAGGAGCAGTGGCAGCGAGAGCGAGCAGTGAAACCTCTTGTAGGCAAGATACAAAAAGCGTGCAGTCGTGGACTACTAGTGTCAGGAAGGTCAACTGTGACGAAGTTGGCCAGTATGCGCCACCCGCCAGCCCCTCATTACGATACCCACGTGGGCGCCGCGTAGTATATGAGGAGGGCATAGTGTGTGTGTGTGGGGGGGTGGGGGGGGAGTACGAATATGACGTCGCCACCACCGCGCCAGGCCATTAAACTGAGTATGTGGCAGCTTTATGGATCGACCCAGGGTTTTATCGAGTGGCGTGTTGCATGTGCAAGGATTGGCCGGCCCCAATCATGTGTGACGTGCGGACGTGATTGCGTGACAGCGCCGTTCATTACGGGGCCGACGGGGTGATCCTGCTCCGGTCACCGGGCCGCGCTGCCTCCGGCCCTGCCCGTCTCTGGCCCCTCTGTGTCTCTCACCGGGTCCGCGCTGCCTCGGCCCTGCCCGTCTCTGGCCCCTCTGTGTCTCTCACGGGTCCGCGCTGCACTCCGGCCTCTGCCCGTCTCGGCCTCCTGTCTTCTCACCGGGTCCGCGCTGCCCTCCGGCCTCTGCCGTCTTGGCCTCTGTCTCTCTCAGGTCCGCACTGCCCCCGGCCTCTGCCCGTCTCTAGCCTCTGTGTCTCTCTCACCGGGTCCGCACTGCCCTCTGACCTTGCCCGTCTGGCCTCTGTCTCTCTCACCGGGTCCGCACTGCCCTCTGGCCTCTGTCCGTCTCTGGCCTCTGTGTGTCTCTCTCACCAGGTCCGCACTGCCCTCGGCCTCTGCCCGTCTCTGGCCTCTGTCTCTCTCACCGGGTCCGCATGCCCTCTGACCTCTGCCCGTGTCTGGCCTCTTGTTCTGTCACCGGGTCCGCGCTGCCGCTGGCCTCTGCCCGTCTCTGGCCCGTGCCCGTCTCTGCCCACCTTTGTCTTCTTTCCTGTCAGCCTGTTCGCCATGTCCCTGCCGTAACCCTGCCCGCCGCCCTGGCGATGGCCTGGGACCGGGGCGGCCGGGCCAGGCCTGGTCCCAGGGCCAAACGGGTCGGCTGAATGAAGCCCGCTTGAGATTCCAACCCTGTTGGTGACAGCCGGCCGGCGTCTGCGGCCATGCGGCCGGCGCTGTTGGCTACGGGTGTGTGTGTGAACGTGCGTCGGTCGGAGATGGTGCCGGGTGACCCATATCTCTGGAGGAGCCCGGTCCCAGGCCAGGGGTCTGGTTGGCACCAGCTTCTACCGCCCCACTCTCCCGGACGGGCCTGTGTGGAGGAGTGCCCTTGGATCGTCGTGCTGATGGTTAAGGCTGTCTTCGGTCGTTTTACGGCCCGTGAAACGTCAGTGGTCATTCGCATGGCATGGCCACGTTGACAGGTGCATAGAGCCGTCCCCGTGCACGGCTGCCGATCGAGTAATATAGTAGTTATCAGGCCGGCCTCGTCTTGCAGCGAGTGACTGGCGCAAAGGCCGAGACGCGTCAACATGTGTGAGGTTTCTCACCTGGCGCGGCACATTGCCCTGGGTATGAGAGAAACATCTATCGCGGGCACTGTTGTTGGTACAGTATTTGGCGATCAGGCGCCGTCAAAATTATTTGTTATTTTTACCGTTTTACCAGGCTGGGTGGTGACCTTTTAGTCCTACGGAAGCCGTTCCAGCACCGAGCCGCGGGGTCCGTTCAGTGAGCTACTCCCAGAGTTGGTGCCATTATTACCATGGCCATTGTGGGCCCCACTCCGCCACTCCATTGTCCGTCTGTATTCGCTGCATGCCTTCCCGGTCGGAGGCGTTTTAACCGGCGTCGCCGCTGGCCGAAATCGATGGCATCTGGCCAGGGCGCCGGGGAGCGCTCCGTGGTTGCGTGCCGTTCGTCGACGAGCGTGGTCAGGGGGCGTCTGATGGGCGCGCCGAGAGAGACTGAGCCAGGGGCCGGCCGGCCTCGCCGCCGGCGCCGGCCGAGCGTCGGCGGCGAGGCCGGCCACTTCGCGAGTCATAAAGCGGCGAGTTGTGGTCGGCCATCGGTCCTCCAGCGCGGCGACCTGCCTCGCTCGGCGTGGAGACCGCCCGCTGCCGGCCCCACACGGCACCGCAGTGAGGTCCGTCCCATGCGACGTGCGGCCGTCACGCGAGACTCTCGCCTCGCTCTCGTGTTGCGTCGGTCGAACTCTGTCGTTGTTGGGTTCGCTGGTATGCGCTGCAGTTAGCAGCCAGTGGAGTGCGGTCACACTAGTTGCAAGCGAAATGGGGCGATGCTGCGCAGCTGTTTGATGCACATATTCTGATCTGAACACAGACACGGAGCCGCCGATATTAAACATGAAGCGGGCGAAAACAAAGGTGCTATTGTTATTTAAGGGCGCACTGCGCCGGTGCCAGCCGGGAGCTGAATCTGCCGCCGCCCGGCCGCGCCGCTTGACGAGTCGGCCGCCTTATTGTGCCCACTCTCGGGCCCGAATGCGTCGGCGACGGATGCAGCCGAGGTGGAAGCCGGCCCGGCCGCGGCCGGACCGGTATTGGCATCGGCTCGCGCGGGGCCCGAGCGCCGGCGGACGACGCGCCCGTCCGAGAGGACGGGACCGCGGGCCGGCCGCGTGCTGCACACTCGCACCGCCGACCTTACGCGGCAGCTCCGGCCGCCTCCCCGCCTCCCCGAGGCCCGGCAGGACGCAGCGTCGTCGCGCCGGCCGGCGCGCCCCACTCCGGTGCACGTGACGCCGAAGTGGCCCTCGGCGCCAGGCAGGCGCCGTCTCGGGCGGCGGCGCGGTTCAATCGAGCCCGGACAGGCGCGGGTCGGCCCGTAAACTCGGCCCGGACGCCGAAGGACTGTCGGTTAGCGGCGCGCGCTATGATGCGGCGCCTGTGGCTGAGCGGCTCCTTGGTGACGCATGGCGACGCCGCCGGTCGGCCGCAGCGCCGGCGCGGCGCGCGCAGGCACGGAGGTGGCATGACTGGTGGTGGCGTCAGGGGTGTCATGACTCCGGTTTTGGCGTCAGGGGTGGCATGACTCACTTGGTGGCGTCAGTAATGGCATGACTCCGGTGGTGGCGTCAGGGTGGGCAACTGCTGGTTGCGTCTGGGGTGGCATGGCTCGGGTGGTGGCGTCAGTAATGGCGCGTCTTCGGGTTGCGTTAGCGGTGACATGACTCGGGTGGTGGCGTCAGGGGTGGCATGGCCCAGTGGTGGTGTCAGGGGTGGCATGAATCGGGTGGTGGCGTCAAGGGCGGGATGGCTGGGATGGTGTGTTTAGGAGATCCCGTCATTCGGGTGAAAGCGTCGAGCAGTCTAAGGACTCGGATGGAGAGGGTGGGATTTATCGGAGCTCAACTAGTGGAGTTTCACTTCGTCGTTCGGGGCAGGGAGGGGGGGGGAGCGGGGGGCAGAGACGAGCCCCTCTTCGTTTGGCAGGCCTTCGTGCTTTATCGTTCTGCCGTGGGGAAGGGAAGGGAAGGGGAGGGAGTAGTTAGCCGTTGCTGCTGCTGTCGGCGCCGGCCCCTGGGCCCGTGCCGTGCCGCCGCGCGGGGCCCGTTTGTTTGTGGAGCGGCTGCCTGCGTCAGGTGGCCGGTCCGTTAATGGGCCGCCAGTGTGCTCAGCCGGCTTAGCTGGGATACGTGTGGCGTGCGCTGTCTCGCGGTTGGCGCCGCGTTGGGCGCGACGCTCCGCCCGGCCGGCCCGGCGACAATGCTTGGACCTCCGCACCGCGCCCTGTCGGTGGGGGTGCAGGCTAGCAGCAGCGCTAGGCGGAGGCCCTCTTCCAGCCAGGTGAACGTATGGAGCGTGCAGAAAACTCTGCCCATGTTGGCTTTGGTCGTTTTCCGACCGGAAGCCTTCTCACAAATTCACTCCGGCTGTCCCACGTGTCTGTTTTCATTGGTTTTAAATCATTAATTGTATTCCGCCATTGGTTTGGCAAATACGATGCGAAGCTCAGCCCCGTCTCATTGTATTGATCTCGGTATTCTCGTCGTGATGCTTGTGCCCGTGCATATTGGCAGCCTCGCATCCTTTACGCTTGTCCCATATCCGCTAGTGCGGCCGGTTATAGCGCTCCTCTCCGTATTCACCCGACCTTTGCGCGGCGGCTCGAGTCGTTTTTCGTGCTCGCTGTTTGTCCCTGACTGGGTTGGCCTGCGACCGGTGGTAGTGACCGAGCTGAGGGTTACGTGACGTCGGAGGGTGGAATGGACCGTGCCAAGGAGAGCGGCGCCGTAAACTTACGCCATTAAACTCTGCCGTTGATACGAAGTTTTATGGTCAGCTGATGGCTCGCGGGTCAAGCAACAAGCATGGCTTAGCATCTTCTCTTCACATAAATCAGTCCATTCGCAAGGTGCGCACTAAATCTTTAAGTGTGACCAACGTCGTGGAATATGCCTGCTGTGTGTACCTTCTCGCCTCCGCCCCTCGGAACGCCTCCCACCACGGGGCAGGTACTCCCCCGACCCCCCCCCCCCCCCTCGCTTTGCCGTACTCTCGTGTAAGCAAGGCCGCGCCGCCGCCGGCAGGATCGTGGACGCAGGTCGGCTGGCGGCGCCGTATCAGAAGATGCTGACGGTGGCGGGCGAGCTGCTGCGCCGGCAGCCGGCGCCCGGCCGCGACAGCGTCGTCGCCCTGCTCGGGCACGACGTCAGCGCCCTCAACAGCGTGCCCACGGCCGTGTACTGCTTCCTGCGCGGCCTCCGCCGCTGCCCGGCATCGAGGTCAGAGTCTGAGAGGCTGGGGTGGATACGGACCGGATGGTGCCCGAGACGGGCGAGCTGGTTATGGGAGGTCTGTGGGACCAGCAGATGATAATGGTGGTTGCACCACGGCATGCGAGCATCAACTGTACAGGCGGCGGCGTCAATTAGCGCATACTTAGAGTGCGCTCCAGACGGTCGCCGGCGCCTGATCTCGCCAGAGCGACCGGCAGGGGGCGCCGCTGTAACGATGCCGGTCGAGAGCGTCGTTCAGAAGACGCTTTGAGACCGATTTAGAACGGGAACACTTCATCTAAAAAGGCCACTGGGCGTCGAGTAGGCCTTATCGTTCGCTCATCGTTTCTGCCGGGGGTCATCACGCTCGTAATGGTGGCCTCTGGCCGAAATGTCGAATGCTTACGTTATAAAGCTTTCGTCATTAGCTCTTTTACCAGCTACTCCCAGTAAAATGCTGATACATCAAATATCGTGCGATACTAACATTGACGAAAGGTGTAAGCTTATGGTTGTTGTAATGTCCTTATGGGTGAGGCCTCCGCGTAAGCTGTGATTGGATGGAGCTTTAGGTGACGTCACATGGTAGGCCGATCTGAACGGACGCTGTTGCGGGGCAGGGAGGGGAGGGGTCTACAGATGGCGCCAAGCCTTTCCATTGATTTCCCCCGTGAGATGTGGTTCTGGCCGACCCTGCCGCCGTCCAGGTTTATCACTCCGTGTGTCTTGCGTTGGCTTTTCATGACACCCTCCGGGTAATACTTCACCGGTCATGTCCGCCTAATGTCGCCGCGTGGCCTGGCAAACAACCGCCTGCCTGGGGACGTCAGTCGGCCAGGACACCCGATGTCTGTCGACTGCACCCCGTGCGGAGGACACCCGGTGTCTGACTGCACCCCTTGCGGAAGACACCCGATGTCTGTCGACTGCGCCCGGTGTCTGTCGACTGCACCCCGTGCGGAGGACATCCGGTGTCTGTCGACTGCACCCCGTACGGAGGACACCCGGTTTCTGTCGACTGCACCCCGTACGGAGGACACCCGGTTTCTGTCGACTGCACCCCGTGCGGGGGGCACCCGGAGCCTCGTGACCAACCTTCTACATGCGGTAGCTCATTCATTTTTTCCATCACCTGTATGAAAAACCAAAGCGTCTGTTTACGTATTGATGAGCACCTAACTTTTAGGTATATTTTTATACGTTTCTGGAAAACTTGATCTGTAACACGCCAATGTTGCCCCGAGCTTGCGTTTCAGGCTGATCTTGCAACCCTCGCTAGCATGCCTTCCCTTCCTAGATTTGTTTAGACCTACTTCTGATTAATTGTTTGCCTTCCTAAAAAAACAGCTGGTCGTAAGGGTTCAAGTTTTCGGATGTTCGGCCTGCGTTCAAGAACTGGTTGCACGAAAGTGAAGCCCGGCAGCTAACAGCCCATGGTTCCACGGAGCGTATGCGTACCGGCGCGGCTGCTGCGAATCGGGCCAGATTTACGGCACTGCCTTCCGACGGCCGGGGGTCTCTGCTATGGCGCGAGTGCGCCCGCCGGGGAGGGGGGGGGGGGGGGGGGGGCGCCGCGAGCCCAGGAGTGCGCTCGGCTGCTTAGCATAAAGCCGCCGCCCACTTACCATACGGAGGGCAATTAGATAAGCGACGGACGGCGTCAGCCCCAGCGCGGCGGTCGTCGTTCTCAAGGCGCGGTGGATGTCGTTCTTAGGGCACGGTGGATGTCGTTCTCAAGGCGCGGTGGATGTCGTTCGTAGGGCACGGTGGATGTCGTTCTCAAGGCGCGGTGGATGTTGTTCGTAGGGCAACGGTGGATGTCGTTCTTAGGGCACGGTGGATGTCGTTCTCAGGGTACGGTGGATGTCGTCCTTAGGGCACGGTGGATGTCGTTCTCAAGGCGCGGTGGATGTCGTTCGTAGGGCACGGTGGATGTCGTTCTCAAGGCGCGGTGGATGTTGTTCGTAGGGCACGGTGGATGTCGTTCTCAGGACAGGGCGAATGTCGTTCTTAAGGCGTAGTGGATTTGGTTCTTACGGCACAGTGGATGCCGTTCTCAGGGTACGGTGGATGTCGTTCTTAGGGCAAGGTGGATGTCGTTCTCAGGACATCATGGATGTCGTTGTTAGGACACGATGGATGTCGTTCTCAGGGCACGATGGATGCCGTTCTCAGGACACGGCGGATGTCGTTCTTAAGGCGCAGTGGATGTGATTCTTACGGCACAGTGGATGTCGTTCTCAGGGTACGCTGGATGACGTTCTAAGGGCACGATGGATGTCGTTGTTAGGGCACGGTGGATGTCGCTCTCAGGGCACAGTGGAGCTCGTTCTCAGTGCTTGGTGGATGTTCTCAAGGCGCAGTGAATGTCGTGTCCCGCAGTAGTATGCCCGGCCGTCGCGCGCGCAGTGTGGCCTTGAGACACGGTCGTGCCAGCCTCCGAGTCGTACACAGTGGAACTTTTTGGGATCTGTGGGATAGTGCCCAAATATCTTTGCGGCACGGGATGGGGTGGGGGGGGGGGGGGGCATGTTTCACTTTTGAAGGTAGGGCTTGAATAGAGATGGCCAGGTAGTAGCCGATTTGTGCTGCTGTATGACAGGCGAAACACCTTTTGAATATGTGAGTTTGCGAACTACCGGTCCAGAGTGCTACAAGCAGCGATGCTGTTGGACAGGATGTCTCACGCAATCATTGTGCTCCTGGTCCCTTACTGCGCCATACACGCCAAGACACGGCCGCCTGAGGTACCCATACACGCCAAGACACGGCCGCCTGAGGTACCCATACACGCCAAGACACGGCCGCCTGAGGTACCCATACACGTCAAGACACGGCCGCCTGAGGGTACCCATACACGTCAAGACACGGCCGCCTGAGGTACCCATACACGTCAAGACACGGCCGCCTGAGGTACCCATACACGCCAAGACACGGCCGCCTGAGGTACCCATACACGCCAAGACACGGCCGCCTGAGGTACCTGAAAGCTAACGCGCCGTGTTTGAGAGAGTTGAATGAAACTTGCCCTAAAATATTTAGAAAATTGCATCGAACTGTAGTTCTGAGACATTTCAGAACAACAGAACATTGAAGAGACAGCAAGAGCAGAGGTTTTGAAGCAATGGAAGCTCCTTAGGTGTGGTTTGGAGTGGGGCACTTGTAACACCACACCGCTTGAGTTCCGCCCAGCTACCGCTTCTCTTCAGCTCACCCAGGCTGTTGTAACGCAGTTGTTACGGCACGCGTGTCCGGATGCCAAGATAATAGCATTCACGCTCGAGCAGAGATTTGACGCCTTTGGTTGGTTGTTATGGGTGAAAAACTAGTTCAAGGATTGCATTCAGAGTAATTTTTCACTTCAGTCTTTTATATTCGGGACATTGACACTGTGCGCAAGTGCCCGCTCGGTATGAATTCAATGAGCATGCTTCGAAACCTGAACGTTGTGATCGTGCAGACTGCGCACACGTGCAGGCGTTCCCCGAGAGCTGATCCGACACTGACGGACAGCCGTATCAGTGCGGCCGGAATAGCAAACCGAAAAGAAGGCCGCGGTGCGGCTGTACGTCCGGCCATGCAGCCGTTTTCGACGACGGGACGGTGGTCTTACTGCGGCGATCAAGAGCAGACGCGGCTCGGCCGGCGCCGGGACCTCGGACGGAACCACGGGAAGGAGGGCGTGACGTCATCAGTGTCTGACGTCGCCAGGGTCTGACGCCAGCGGGGTTCTCCAGGGCTGCGGGACGGACCGCTTGTCTGCCGCCCCACTCCGTCACCCGTGTACCCAGCGCCGCGAGGCCTGGCACGCGGCGTGTTCATCGCCCTGTCCCGATGACGCGACGCCTGTGTGAACGGCGACAGCGCTGGCCGGCGCAGTCATCCGGAGGTTCCGAGAGCTCGTGCTGTCCGCTCTTGACGGCGTGACTGGCCTCGTCACGATGTCTTGCCGAACGCTGTTGAGCTTTTGTACACCGTTTTCGGCGATTTTACCGACGGTGTAATCGTCTCAGTGTGCGTGGCCCGATCATCCAAGCTGGCTCGATTGTCTCGTGCATGGTTGGATCATCCCAACCTGCTCTACTGTCGTGGTGCGCGTGGTTGGGTACCCAAGCTGGTTCGATTGTCTCGGTGTGCAGGGTGGGATCACCCCAGCTGGTTCGATTGTCTCGGCGTGCGGGGTTGGATCACCCCAGCTGGTTCGATTGTCTCGGCGTGCGTGGTTGGATCACCCCAGCTTTTTCCATTGTCTCGGCGCGCGTGGTTGGATCTTCGCACTGCATTCTGGGATCGCCCCATTGTGCACGGAAATGGTTTGGCCTGGCCCGGGGCCGAGGTCTTCTCGCTGGTGTTGCCCGTTACTCTGTCGGCCATCAGGCTGTGTTTCCGGTACATCCGGGGTCGTAGAGAGGGCAGGGGAGAGCGAGGAGAACGTGCCGTGCCGGCGCCGAGCCATTCGGCGGACGCCCACGAGCGAAGGGCCGGGGCGGAGGTTAGCAACTTGGACGGCCAGCAACATGCCTGTGAACTGCGGCGTGGTGAATGTTTGCTGACGCTGCATTCAATTTTAGCTCAGGAACGGCACACTCCATGATAGGACACACGCCGGATCAGACAGCAATACATGGACGCTCCAATCAAACTGCTCATTTCACTCCGAGGGCAAGGGCACTGTCAACGATGATCGCGATCGGCAAGCCACCAGATCAGGGTCAAACTTGTCTGGTGTTCATTGGTGTGGGTGCGTCTCACGTTGACTTACTGTCAATCGTGATTATCTATAATAATTTGTCTCCGCATTCATCGTTTACCTATTCATAATTGCTACTTACTAATAATTTTTAACCCGAACAGAGCGAATTTTTCCGGGTTTAGTATGGGTGCAAGTACGTCAGAGAAACTGTGGGCTTCCAAAACGTGTTCCTCCCCTCTCAGAACTGTTTTCCGACTCAGAACATCAGGAACGCTGTTTTTAAACATCAGTTTTGACGTGGTGCCACTTGGTTATGAATTTAACCTCATGTAATAGAGATTACTTTACCGTGTGCTACCGTGTGCCACTTTTGCACCGCACGTATGCTTGGCAAGCATTAAATAACAAGCAAGACAAGGGGCTGCTTGGAATAGTGCATTGCTGGCTCTCTTCACCATACAATGCCTATCTTCACTGCTGCCATCGGCTCTCCGTGCTTCGACCTGTCCGGGGTACGAGTGCCAGCGGATAAGGGCTCCTGGCCAACCACTGACTAGAATGTAAACCTTTTCGATAGTCGTGGACTGGGGGTGTTGCAAAATTTAATGGAGGGCATCGGGCGATAAGAGGCCGTTCTCAGCGCATAGTGATTACATCACCGACATGTGCCGACCGCTGGCAGCGCGGCATCCATTGCGCAGGCACGGCCCTTCCGACGGAGGCCATTTGGTGTTGCGTTTAGTGGAAAATGTTACGATCCGTCGATGGTAAGGGAGCCTTGTCGAAGCTAGAGTTGATACCCGACGGACTCTGAAGTGGGGACGCTGGTGATGTCCTGGACGTTGGTGTTCTCATTGGTATCTGGGCTCTGTTTGAAGCCGCCACCGATGATGATGCATCACCGATTCCTCGCCACGGAAGGGATGCACACATATTGCGTGGCAAAATGCCGCAGTTTAAGTCATTTGCAGTCTGCAGACAGCTTTCCCGAATTGCAGTGCACTGCCTCAGCAGACATGCCTGGTTCCGACTGGGAACACTTCTAGGATCCCATTGTATCTCTTCAAAGACCTTTCGTATTTTCTGAGGCAAGTGCTTGAAATGGTTCTTCTCCCATACTGACTGCGCTTTTTTTGTTCTGGTGTGGACACATCGTGTTTTCTTTGTTTAGCTTCGGTTCTGGAACAAAGCATTCTCTGGCATTCAACAAGGCAGCAAAAGCCGACTTTCCCAACACCGGCGGTCTGCGGGGGTCGATTCGACCCGAACCGCGTGCGGCAGATCTGATTCTCCTCATCTAAAGATCCGATCAGATCAGATCTCTCCTGTGCCCCCCCCCCCCCCCCCCCTGCCGTCTCAGGAGAGAAGCCTGGTCTGACCTCCCGCAGTCACGGCCGGCCGCCAACGGAACGCAGCGAGATCCGGATCGACACTGTCCGTCACCCGGTCTGCAGTGTCCCGCTGGTGTGGGTCCCCCCCCCCCCGCCCCCCGCCCCCCTCGACCCCCGACCTCGGCCGCCCGCGGGGTCGGCCGCGCGCCGCCGACGGCTGGCTAATGAGCGGCCCTCTCGTCGGCAGGCGGAGAGTCCATTCGTGCGCACGATCCAGTACGCCATCTCGCTAGGCGGAGACACGGACACCATCGGCTCCATGGCGGGTGCCATCGCCGGTGAGTGTGCCGTCCGAGGCGGGGTGGCAGCCGCGCCGCGCCGGGCCCTCTACAGCCTTTTGAGTCCCGTGCCGTGCGTCTCGTCTCAGGTGCGCTGTGTTGTGTGATCAGTTTCAGCTGTCGCCTTGTCGGTTCGCGCTTCGTTTCAACTTTTTCTGTGGGCCGTGGGCTCCGTTTCAGCTTCTGTGGACCGTGGGCTTTGTTTCAGCTGTGCCCTGTGGGCCGTGAGCTCTGTTTCAGCTGTGCTCTGTGGACCGTGGGTTCCGTTTTAACGTTACTCTGTGGGTCATGGGCTCTATCTCAGCTGTGTTCTATGGGCCATGGACTCCGTTTCAGCTTTGTTCTATTAGCCGTGGGCTCCGTTTCAACGGTGTTCTATGGGCCGTGGACTCCGTTTCAGTTGTGTTCTATTAGCCGTGGGCTCCGTTTCAGCTGCGCTCTGTGAGCCGTGGGCTCCGTTTCAGCTGTGTTCTGTGGACCGTGGGCTCCGTTTCAGCTGTGCTCTGTGGGCCGTGTGCTCCGTTTCAGCTGTGCTCTGTGGGCTGTGGGCTTCGTTTCAGCTGTGTTCTGTGGGCCGTGGGCTCCGTTTCAGCTGTGTTCTATGAGCTGTGGGCTCCGTTTCAGCTGTGCTCTGTGGGCAGTGAGCTCCGTTTCAGCTCGAGCTCCTGCGTGCGCGCCTGCGCCACTGCTGGCCTCTTGGCCGCCCGTTGTTGGGTGACGCAGCACCGCTGGCACGCTGAGATAGGTCGGCTGTCCCCTGCGTACGGTGGGCAGTCTCACTTGCTGACGGGTGCCGGCCACCGAGTTGACGGTCACCTCTCGTTAAAGGTCCGGCTGTGCGCAGGCTTCCACAGCTTCCCGTCCGGGTCGGCTCATGTACATTGCACGCACGCTCTACGTACGTGTGGGAGGGGCGGCTCAAGCTTGGACACAGCGCTGCAGTGCCCCCCCCCCCCCCCCCCATCCCCGCCCTGACGGTCCCGCCTCTCACAGAATGTATGTGAAACCAAAACCATCTTGAGCAGCGAGTGCAAGGTGGTGTACAAATGCTTTTCCGTGCAGCGTCGTAAGGTTACGCTGTTTCGAAATTTGAGGTAGCGCTTTCCGTTAACTGATTTCTGCTGCTTTGGAATTTGATGAGAGTCGCTCATATATGTGGCAGTTTTTTAAACACTCGTGACAGAAAATTACGAAACACGCGAGAGCACACAACCATGCGTGTTTTGTGGGCATGCGTACAAGGCTTGGGCGTGCAATACTTGGAAGGCTGCGGCCAACTTTCCTGATGTATACAGCACTTATACTGGTGTGTACTGCACTTATACTGATGTATACTGCACTTTTACTGATGCATACTGCACTTTTACTGATGTATACTGCACTTTTCCTGGGGTTTTCTCGTTACGGTGTAAGTCGTGGAAAGTTTTTACCCTCGAATGGCCCATGGGGGAGTGGTAGTGCTGCTTTTTATGACATTATTTTAATCACAAACGTTGCGATCGAAGGTGAAACGCCAAAGCAGCAATGATTTAGCTGACCGAGAGATTTCGGGCTCGGAAACCGGTTCGCGCTGATCAGATTATTCCGCCCATTCCAGGAATTCCGCCCATGCCCGTTCCTATCCTCGCCCTCGGCCCCTCGCCCTCGCCCTCGCCCTCGCCCTCGCCCGCCCCGCCCCTCCGCCCCGGCCCCCGCCCGCCCTCCCTGCCCTCTCCCCCCCCCCGCCCCGTCCCTGCCCTCTCCCCCGCCTCCGCCCGGCCCCGCCCCACCCCGCCGTCCTCTGTGGGGAGGCGGCCAGCCGTGACCGCCTCTGACTGCGGTGCCTGACCTGCCTGGCATCTGCGAGCAGCAGGCCGCGGCGTCTGAGGAGGTAACCGGCGGCGGGCGGCCAACCGGCCAACCTCTCCGGTCAGGCCGTCCCGCCATGGCCCAGTGACGCCTGTGTGGACGGTCACCGGCGCGTCGGTCGGGCCGGCATGAGTGTGCCCCCCCCCCCCCCTCCCCACCCGAGTCCGACTCCAGTCCCAGCGAGGGGGCCCTGCACCGGCCCGGGGGACATGGCGCAGCTCAGCTGAGATGGAGATCGCGGATCGGCTCGCAGGGCGGCCGGCGCCGTCCGCGTGGCTCCCGCTCGTCACGCCTGCCGACATCGCTGGCGGTTGGACGTCGAGCGCGGCGCACGCGGACGTTCGGCGTCAGGCCGGGGCGTGTGAGCCGAGCGAGCACGTTCGGTGTGAGCACGCCAACTCGGTGGAGGCGCACCGTGTCGGGTGTGGCCGCCCGCTCCTGTCTGTTCGTGGGCGGCAGATGGCGCCGGGCGCAATGGTACTACGGCGTCCTGTCATCGCAAAGGCTCAGCGACAGCGCGCGGGGATTTCAACGTCCGCTCGATCGTGTCGAAGGCCGCACCGGGCTGGTTTAGGGCGGGGGGGGGGGGGTGAGGTGAGGGGGCGTCGTGAGGGTTCCTTGGAGGTTACCTTGCGCAGCCTTGGTTAGCTTGGAGGCCTGAATTAATGCGTGGGAAAGGCGGGTCTGTGCGTTTCGGGACACTGGGGCGCAGCGTGTACCACCGGACAACTGTGTTGCACCATGTGCTGGGCCCAAATCGAGAGAGCGAGAGAACGAGAGCTAGAGCGGGAGCGAGACGCTGATTGCTGTATGAACTTTTTGGGAAGCGCATCTGCTTATATCACAAACACATTTCATTTTGAGCCCGGGGCCGGATAATGCTTTATGAATGTGTTATGCAGTTTTGGTGAAAAACATGACGGTGGGAACGGAACTACTTTACTTTGTACTGAATCTATTGCGCATGCCGCAATGGTAAATAACGGGTGGCTTTTTCAACTTAAGTTTGAACACTTTACTTGCAAGGTTACCTTGCTGGAATCGATTGCGTTCATTTTTGTGTCGCGCGCACCGCTGCACCACGAAATGGCGCGTTTAAAATATGGGAAGATATTGGCAATGTGTTTGCATACCGCAGGGAATTGATGGCCTTGAGACCACACAATGGTTAACGGCATGGAACAAAGATCCGAATGATTTCATAAAAAAAACAGGTCCTTTCTTCCACCTGGTATCCAACGGGTCGAATAGTATCCTTGAGTCGGACTAGGGTGCTGGGTGCCCAATAGTAGAAAGTTTATCTTGCCAAACCTTTGTGTTCGTGTGAGTGGGAGGGGCGGGGGGAGGGAGGAGGCGTATCCGTGTCAAAATGACTAAAACTTTGCCATTTATATGCAATGTTCAACTCCTTCGTTCATTTAGCCCACTTCACCTCTAAAGTTCGTGGGACTCACAGCAAAGTGGGGGGATGGGGTTGGCCGCTCCACCGGAATACGAAGCCCCCGCTCCTCCGAGAAGTGTGGCCCCAGGAGGAGTTAGGCGCGCTGGGCTCTGGCGGCGCTCTTTCGAATGCTAACCGGCTTATGTAACTAAATGGAACGTGGCCGTCTCCGGCTCTCACCCGGTCGGCGGCACCAGAGCTCGTGAAGCATGCACACTGCGCTGCCGGCCGTCACGACCCGCGCCCTGACGCCCCGCCGACGGGGCCGTGCGCTGCCGGCCGTCACGACTCACGCCCTGACGCCCCGCCGACGGGGCCGTGCGCTGCCAGCCGCCACGACCCGCACCCTGACGCCCCACCGACGGGGCCGTGCGCTGCCGGCCGTCACGACCCGCGCCCTGACGCCCCGCCGACTGGGCCGTGCGCTGCCGGCCGTCACGACCCGCGCCCTGACGCCCCGCCGACTGGGCCGTGCGCTGCCGGCCGTCACGACTCGCGCCCTGACGCCCCGCCGACTGGGCCGTGCGCTGCCGGCCGTCACGACCCACGCCCTGACGTTCCCGGCGGCCCCAGCTGGTCGATCGCTTTGCCAGTCGATCTCATTTTAATGCCGCATGTTTTCCGTGATTCAGCGGCAGAAACGTCCGACGTTGTGTGCAGGCACATCTAGCATGATCACCCTCACCTCCGGTCACCCTGTGTAGCACGATCTTTTTTTCCGACGAGAAAATTCTAGCACTTCTATACTAGAAGCACTACTGGAGAAAATTCTAACACTTTTCATCTAGCACGTTTCTTTTTTCGACGAAGTGTCGCTTGGGAACTGTTTTATTTGCGCAGCGAGACATATGCGTAATTTTTTCCAAATGCAATTATGATCTGCGCTTGGGTAATCACGTGGTAATATTATCCCAAATTTCACGGACAGGTGGCTGATGACTTTCTGATAGAAATGAAAGTGTGTTTTTCAGTAGGTTCTAAAGGAGAGAGGATTGGGCGGTTGATCTTAAATATCCGCCCATAGTGAAGAACTTTTGCAGCGTCTTGCAAGGACCTGCAAACATTGCAGTAGCAGTTTGTGTTTTGACTTTGCCAAGCTGGAATTGAAATGTTTGCAATTTCCCGGTCGTAAAAGGCCTGTAATTCGGACTGATTACACCGGCCGTCTATCCTGTAATTGAGTTGCTATCCAATTCGCCACATGCACTTGGATAGTTGTTAGCCTGTGCTCGCTATTCCGAAGTAAATAGAACCAGCTTAGATCACGCCCAACCCATTTTTGCGACGACGGTGCTCGGCATCGTTATTCTGTCTGACCTATGCTTCTGTGTTGCTCTGTCAGGTTTTATTAGATAGCTTATAGCGTATACTTAGGCCTAGCTGCTACTGCATAACTTATGCACCGGAGAAGCCAAGTCGTCATTTATTTACGGCGCGTGTAGAACATGGTTTCGCCTGTTGACATTGTCAATATGTTTTTCTTCCAAGCTGATATCCGGCTGCTGTCAAAGGACTCGACGAGCAATCCCAGCGTGGTCTGAAACACACGAGCCGGCTCACTGCTGTCCGACTGACCGTCCTACTCAGGGGGAATATGCTTCCCCAGCTGACATTCGGTGCCAACTGCGACCATTGAAAGCTTGTCTGCTGATCGTGCCGGTGTTATCTGATTCTTTGAAAGCTCGCCACCGCACGAGACCGGCGGCGGCCGGTCTCCGGCACGAGCCGCACGCTGCCGGACGGAGCTGGTCGGCGGCCGGTCTCCGGTCTCCGGTCGGATCGTCGGGCTCCCACAGGCGCGTCAGATGAGCGCCGCTGCCGGGCGGCGGCCGGTCTCCGGTCTCCGGTCTCCGGCCGGATCGCCGGGGTTCCCACAGGCGCGTCAGATGAGCGCCGCTGCCGGACGGGGCCGGGCGGCGGCCGGTCTCCGGTCTCCGGTCTCCGGTCGGATCGCCGGGGCTCCCAGAGGCGCGTCAGACGAGCGCCGCTGCCGGTCGGGGCCGGGCGGCGGCTGGTCTCGGGTCGGATCGGCGTGGCTGTCAGAGCTGCGCCGGCCCGGGTCGGTCCTGATCCGGCGCTGATGGAAGGCCAGCCCCCGCCACCAGACGGCACGGGCGCCGCCAGAGCCGGCTGCGACGGATGAGCAACACAGACGGACCGGCTCGATGCCACTGGCTTTGTATGTAAATGCTGGAATGGAGCAGTACAATCCCCACCGGCTGCGGTTCCGGTTCGAAAGCGACGACTGATGGAAGCTGGCCGGGCGACATCGCGATACTTTTTGTCGCTCGCTCTTACATGCCTTTCAAACAATTTTCTTCTCCAACTTGTATTTCTTTCGATATTAGCTTGGTCTTTAGACACTCCTGCCTTTCTCAAGCACTAAGTCACCAAGTCGGACACAACACGGTACCGTTTATCGACGGCGACAGACATCGTTAACGTTTCCCGCATTTGAACGCTTTGGGTCAATTGCTGCCATAGCAATTACGTGAGATGGCTCCTCTGACATTAATAGACGGGCAGCGCAGTCGGTAACCGTGATGAATAGAACAGTAATCAGTGCTCGTCGCGACGGTGAGAGCGGCGCTGAATAATCCACCAGCCGTGAGTGAGCTGTCGCGGAGATCATGAATATATGATTGCTGGGTGGCCGGCCTGCAAACGGGGAACTCAACGATAAAACTGCAAACAACGCGGTCGTAACATGTTAAGCACCGGACTTATGCTGGAGCCGTGAGCAGCACTGCTCGCCTCCGAGTTCACGAACGTAACCGAAGTAGGGGTCACGCCTGCGAACGCGGAGCCGACTCGTCGGCTTCACTTGCGAACAGCCGCTGAAGGCTGCTCCGTCCATCCACAGTGGGCGCAGCAGTTGGATGAGGCGGTCGTTTTCTCCCCCCCTCCCCCTCCGCCCCCCCCCCCATGCTGTTCAGTATTTACGAGACTCCTGTTGCTCGCCCGTTGTGGGTTTTTAGTCCCGTGCAGCGCGAACACGGTGATAGTTTATCGCGTCTGTGTTGGGAGCTCGGCCTGGACATTATCCGTGTGTTGTCATTTGTCCACTTCACCGTCCAGTTGTCTGTCAGACAGCTGGAGGGTGTCATCCGAGCACTCTCCGTGTGCTGCCATCTGTCCACTCACAGTTGTCTGTCAGACAGCTGGAGGGTGTCATCCGAGCAGTCTTCGTGTGCTGCCATCTGTCCATTCACAGTTGGCTGTCAGACAGCGGAATTGTTAAATTTGAGGAATATGGCAAAAACTGTCCGCAGTGAATGCGCGGTATTGATAGTGATTCTCTTTCAACGTTCTCACGACGTGTCACTAGCCAGACATGTGACATTCTAGTGTCATATACTTTCCAGGATATACATGACACATTCTCTTGTCAGTTCTAGTGTACATGACTCCAGAAAGTACTCCTGGCCAATACGTTTTCCAAATCATACTTAAGTCTGTTCATTTCGTTAGATTTAAGAGCAAAACGCTGGTCAGAGCTGTTAACAGTACTGTTTTGCTTCAAGTTTGGCGGTGACTGAGCCTGTTGGCGGCCGGCCAATCAGTTTAAACAGCCCGTCGAATTCGCCGTAGGCGTGGCGCCGAGGCTCTGGCGCTGCTTACGGCAGAATTAAGTTATTTTATCGCGAGGCCAAAGTCGCCAAGTTTTCCGCGGATTAGATTGCGTTGGATAACATATCGCCATTGAGACGGGCTTTTTAAAGCTCGCATGCCACTGATCACAAGGCCAAATTTGTCGCAAAGTGTTCTGAACAAATAGTTGCGCTGCAATTGGATTAACCCAATGCAAATTTCGCCAAAGGAACTATTTCGAGGCTGAAGATGTAGGAGTTCGATGCAAAAATGCTCTCAACATAGCCATTTCAGTTGAAAAATCCAAGTTGTTTGATAAGACTGGGATCAAGATTACCACATTTGTGGTCTGTGTGCCACACGCCTGATCTAGTTGCCTCTCACGTTTAAAGTTAATTTTTGGCTGTGTCACATGGGGCAATCGGTCTTCAGCTCTGCACCGGAGCTGAGCACCAACCCCCATAGGGTGTACATATGCCCTGTCTGGCCACGTGTGCCTCCCGGTTAGCCACGCTGGCCCCCCGTAGCCAGCCTCGTGCGTTTCGTGTTGAACCGGCCGCTCCCCGGGGTCACCGGGGTCCCCGGGGTCCCCACTGCCGGGCCGCCCCTGCGAGCGCCGAAGACCGGCCGCTCCCCGGGGTCACCACTGCCCAGCCGCCCCTGCGAGCACCAAAGACCGGCCGCTCCCCGGGGTCCCCACTGCCGGGCCGCCCCTGCGAGCACTCAAGACCGGCCACTCCCCGGGGTCACCACTGCCCAGCCGCCCCTGCGAGCACCAAAGACCGGCCGCTTCCCGGGGGTCACCACTGCCCAGCCGCCCCTGCGGCCTCCGGACACCGGCCGCTCCCCGGGGGTCCCCGCTGCCGGGCCGCCCCTGCGAGCGCCGAAGACCGGCCGCTCCCCGGGGTCACCACTGCCCAGCCGCCTCTGCGAGCACCGAAGACCGGCCGTTCCCCGGGGGTCACTACCGCCCAGCCGCCCCTGCGGCCTCCGGACACCGGCCGCTCCCCGGGGGTCCCCGCTGCCGGGCCGCCCCTGCGAGCGCCGAAGACCGGCAGCTCCCCGGAGTCACCTCTGCGTGATTATATATACAATATATAATATGCTGCGATATTATATATATATATATATATATATATATATATATATATATATATAAATTAACTATACATGTGACCTCCAGACACCAGCCGCTTCACGGGGGTCACCACTGCCCGGCCGCCCCGTGACCTACAGACACCAGCTGCTTTCCGGTGTCACTACTGCCGGGCCGCCCCCGCGCCCTCCGAAAACTGGCCGTGTATGGCCGCCGCTGAGCCGCACTGACGCCGCTTTCAGCCTCAGGACGGTGCCGGTCAGTACCGACAGCCCCAGGACGATGCCGGTCAGTACCGACAGCCCCAGGACGATGCCGGTCAGTACCGACGGCCCCAGGGCGGTGCCGGTCAGGTGCCGGTCAGTACCGACAGCCCCAGGACGATGCCGGTCAGTACCGACGGCCCCAGGGCGGTGCCGGTCAGGTGCCGGTCAGTGCCGACAGCCCCAGGACGGTGCCGGTCAGTACCGACAGCCCCAGGACAGTGCGGGTCAGTACCGACAGCCCCAGGGCGGTGCCGGTCGGTACCGACAGCCTCAGGGCAGTGCCGGTCAGTACCGGCAGACTGCTCCCGGCCTGCGGACCGGGCTACAGTGCCGCGGCTGGGCCCGACCGTCGCTGGGGACTGACTGGGGGCCGGTAACGGGTGACGATGCCGAGTGCGGGCCGAGGTCGTCAGCCGGGTGGGAGATGGACTGATGAGTATAACTGACAGTCGGCGGGAGTTTGGCGAGCACCGACGCAGTAGGCTGTCGGATCCAAGCCGAATCGAATGCTGTCGAAAGTTCTCTAATTACGAAACGAGATCGTGTACGAGAGACTGGTGAGTGATTGATTCGTAATGACACGGGCGCTGACGACGACGGCGGCCGGTCGTCCGACCTCGCCGCTACCCGCCGAGCTCGACCGCTGTCTCCGGCGGCGGGTCGTGCCGCGGCCGCGGGGGGCGCTCGTCGGCCGCTGTCCTCCGGCGGCGGGTCGGGCCGCGGCCGCGAGGGGCGCTCGTCGGCCGCTGTCTCCGGCGGCGGGTCGTGCCGCGGCCGCGAGGGGCGCCCGTCGGCCGCTGTCTCCGGCGGCGGGTCGGGCCGCGGCCGCGGGGGGCGGTCGTCGGCCGCTGTCTCCGGCGGCGGGTCGGGCCGCGGCCGCGGGAGGCGTCCGTCGGCCGCTGTTTCCTCCGGCGATGACGCGCCCCTGCGCCGGCCGCCGCCCGGGTATTGGCTGCGCCATACGCCATATCGCCGCCAGCGGGCTCCGCCGAACGCCTCGATTATGCGGCCTCTGATCCGTTGCGTGACCGGGAACCGCCGCCGCCGGCGCCGCGGGGTCGCCTCGGCTGGGGAGCCCGGGCCCGCCGCTGGGGAGCGCCCAGTGGCACTGTCTGGCTGGGCGCCCCGTCCTGCGGGCTGTGGGGATCGGCTCAGCTGCGGCCGCACCACGGCGTGTCCCACTCCGATGGGTATCCGTCGTGCTGACCCTGCCTTCTCCGTTCCAGTTGAGGCGGTTGACCTGTGGGTGCTGGTGCCCCTGCCCCGTTTCTTTTTCGTACATGGACGTGCTACGGTGTGGAGGAAATGTCGATGTCTCGTTTGTTCCGCAGGAGTGTACCTCAGCTTTTAGGCGATGCTGTAGATGTAGTAGATGTAGATGATGGATGTAGAGGTTGTCCTCTGCGTGGCCAGCCTCGGTGTACAGTCGTTGACGCCCCCTCTGCCGACAGGGGCGTACCACGGCATGGAAGCGGTGCCGGCGCCGCTGCTCCAGTACTGCGAGAAGGCGGACGAGGCACTCGCTCAGGCCGATGCGCTGTTTGAGCTGCTGGAGCGCTAGCGGCTCGCCGAGGCGTCCCTCCGGCCTGTGACGTTGTCTGGTCGCGGCCGGAGCCCGCGTCGTGAGGCGCCCCTGAGGTCGCTGGGAGCTCCGCTGCGGCGCGGGGCGCGCGTGAGCAGGAGATGACATCAGGCGCTGACTGGCCACCAGGCTGAAGCCAGGCGCTGGAGTGTTCAGGCCACCCCGGGTGATAATTTGTGTACGCCGCGCGTGTAGGTGGGTGGTTCGAAGGCTCGAACTTATGCACCTGTGCCAGTGGCAGGGTCACTTCGCGGATGCTGCTCGTGTTGTGTTCTGATCTGTTTGTGCGGGCATTCGTAAGGTTCGGAATTGTCCGATGTTGCCGTTGGTTATCTTACGAGCTTGCCATTGTCCTGACGCGATGCCAGTTTAATATTCCTTTTCGGCGGGTCGCTAAGCTTTTTGCGGTAAGCTCTTTGCAGTCGACTCACCATGATCAGACATCCTTTTCCTGTACCGATGGCCTTCAAGCACATATGGCTTCCCAAGTCAAATATCTTTTACAGCGGGATGTTTCAAGGTGACAATAAATGAACGATGCATGGTGAACAATGTCCCGCTGCCTCAATGTCTCGCTGTCCTATCTGCCTCCACGATTCCATGGCAAGAATTTGCATGATTAAACAGTTAATCAGGGTCATTGCTTCTCTCCATCATTAGCATGCATGCCCCAGTGTCGCAAGGGTCGCTCGCAGACACAAGTACACGATGTGGCTTAATACGAGCATGCATTAGGACGCGATTAAGAGAATGCCACGGTTCGTGTATGACTGTCACGAACGCGGTCTTTAGAAAAGCTAACACGCCAACAACGCCAGTGAGGCCGCTAACAAGCGTGCACACACCGAAATGGTGCGTCACAAGTCACCGGGCCGTCACACTTGGGTTCTTCGGGGTCGATCCACGCACGTCACCAGACCAGGATCAGCCGAGGGGCCGACACGCCCAGCACACTGCTACCCGCTCGCTGTCCAGCGTTTGCTCAAACATCGCTCCGATACGAAACACTCTAAAATTTATACCGGCGCCGGCCGACTGATCGATAGCATTTCTATTCGTGCCGCCGCCGCAATCACTCGCACGCTGAAGAGCGCTGTCGCCGCCGCTCGGTGGCGGGCCGGGCCGGCGGCGTGCCTCGTCCCACGGTGCCGTCCGCGGCGAGCCCGGGCCGGCGGCACGCCTCGCCCCACGCTGCCGTCCGCGGCGGGCCCCGGGCCGGCGGCGTGCCTCGTCCCACGCTGCCGTCCGCGGCGAGGCCGGGCCGGCGGCATGCCTCACCCCACGCTGCCGTCCGCGGCGGGCCCCGGGCCGGCGGCGGCCCCGGCGCCAGCGGGCGCGCGGTCGCCGGCTGTCCATCAGTGGTTCGGCGGCGCCGGGCGGGCGGAGTCCCCGCGAGACCGCCGGACCTGTCGCCATCCTCGGCCCGGCTCCGGCCCGGCCAATCCGAACCGCAGGCCGTAAACCGGCTGAGCCGGGGCTGAGACCGGGGCCAGGGCCGGGACCGGGGCGGGGGCGGAGCCAGGGGCCGGGCCCGGGGCCAGGGCCGGAGCCGGGGCCGGAGCCGGAGTCGGAGGCCGGAGCCAGGGCTAGGGCATGGGCCAGGGCCGGAGCCGGAAGTCGATGCTGGGCCGAACGCAGCTCGCTGGGCTCGTCGGCCCGTGCCTCAGACCGTTTCTTTGCCGCCCGGCGGCCGGAACCCGAGCCGGCCCGGCGGCCATTAGTGTTTTGCCGGGGGCGGGGTCGTCGCCGCCTGCGGACCATCTCGGCTGCCAGCGGACGCTCACGCGCCCGGCACGCACAGCGACGCACGCCACTGAGTGCAGAATTCGCGTCCGGTGATCGTACATAGCACGGCCAGGGGTCGGGCGTTACCCGCCCAGCCGGGCTGAGGCCGAACGTAGACGCGAACACACCCTCTCTTGAAGAGTTCCGGTCCCCCAAGCCGCCACTTGCCGTGCTGATCGCGGCTCCAGTGTCGGTCTGATGCTGGTTGTTGACTGCTGTGTGCTGATCGCTGTGGTCCAGGGTGGCCACAGGTGTTCTGGTTCTAACCATACCCACTGGACGGCGTGGCCGGTGACAGAGCCGAGTAAGATTCAGACCGCGTGCCCTGTACCGGCCGGCCGGCTGACCCATCCCTGGCGACTGGCACTCATAGCATGGTGTGAGCTGTGAGCAGCGAGAGCAAGCACCGTCTGGTCACGTGACCCAGCCCCGACAACCGGCACTCATAGCACGGTGGTGAGCTGTGAGAGCGAATAGCAGATACCGTCTGGTCGGACGAGCAGAAGTCGAGGAACTCGTCCAGGGTCACCACAGACCGTCCCGGTTCGTGTCCATCCTCTGCAACAGACAATGGCGGGCTGGTGATTGACGCAGCACGTGGGCCACGTGCCATGCCGCGGAGGACGCCGGGGATACTCCGCACCAGCCGTGTCAGATGGCGCTCTAACGCAAGCAGGATCGCTGTCATCTCCTGCTGTTCTGATAACAGCGCTCGCTGCATGAGGCAGCGCGGTGTTTTGTTGGCGTCGCCTTGATTATAATGCGCGGCGGCCAGCGTTCGCGGCTGGCGTGCCGATAAGAAGATAGATACGCTGCAAAATAGTCCGTAATTGGCCCCGCAAGTGGAGCGTAAAATGCTCCACGGAAAGGTCCGCATACGACCCTGGATAGCTTGCCGTTATAGCGTTGCGGGGCTGATCCGAATTCACTATTGCGCATAGACGAGCAACGCACTGGAAACTCATCCCATCGCCGACCAATGCACATGCTCCTTGATCGTTACGAATCTTTTCTGGGAATTCATCCACGCATGCCGATAGACATTCATTGCTGCTCAGATATTGATGGCGGGGCCCTTTGATCTGGCACAGTTTACGTGAAGTTCAGATACGCGTGCATAAAAGCAACGCGTGCCTCGCCCGAAGGAACGTAATGGCAATGCTGAAACCGCGGTGCCTGGTTTAATAAACGTCTGTGATCGCAGCCCGAGCGAGCGATCGTATAGACCCACATTATTTCCTCAGCCCCGCTGCCGTTTTTAGTTTAACTCAGCATGCATGGAGTATGCCTCCATATATCGTTGGCTTGGACCAACTTAGATGTGTGAGCTAACGACCGAGGCTTTGAGTATCGACCATCCCCGGAGAGATTGCAGCCGTTCCTTTGGTGAGCGGCACCATATTATGTCCCCAACAGCTTTCAAGGACTCCATCGCCGTGGCTATCCGGAGCGGCAACTGTTTCCGATATCGGCCCCACTGAATCAACAGCGGCAGTCGATAAGGGAGGGCAACACGTAAGCGATCCCAGCCGAAAGCGCTCGCCTTCTGCATAACCCACGGGCACTTAACGCCCGTGACGGCGCTGCAGGGCGCGCCGGCGGGCGGCGTGCAAGGGCGGGCGATCGTTCCCAGCGGGAGGCTTGGACCTCTTTAACACCCAGTATAGCACCCTCCCTCCGATTTACGCCAGAGCCCCTCAGATTGCGGCTGGTCTTGCCAAAGTTGGACTAGCGCCCTCCCAGTCTAAGCCATGACCGTGACACATTCGAGGAAAAAGAGGAGGCAAAGAAGACAGCACGAATAAATGAATGCCGTTTTCAATAAGTGTGCTAAAAGGTTTTTCATTTCTATCAATTTACATTCAAGGAAAAAAAGTACCTTTGCTGAAAATGTTCAGATTTAGGGGTGGTTCAGTTGCGGCGGTCTTTTGAAGCCCAAAAAGCAAAAGTAAAGTGAAAAAGATGACCACAAGATTTAGCATTCCAATTTTTCCCAAAAGGCAAAATAAAGCGAGACAACAAAATACGGCGAAAATTGGCGTTTTTGGGGAAGGTGCGCCCTCGGTTAATCGACTGGGTTGTGAGCCCCAACTGACCTCGAGCGCCTGCACCTCCAGCCGCTATATGGTGCCGCGCGCGCGGTCGCAGTGGTGTCGGGGCGCACTGGGCGGCTGCACCTCCAGCCGCCACAGTGGTGCCGCGCGCGCGGTCGCAGTGGTCGGGGCGCACTGGGCGGCTGCACCTCCAGCCGCCACAGTGGTGCCGCGCGCGCGGTCGCAGTGGTGCGGGGCGCACTGGGCGGCTGCACCTCCAGCCGCCACAGTGGTGCCGCGCGCGCGGTCGCAGTGGTGTCGGGGCGCGCTGGGCGGCTGCACCTCCAGCGCTGTATGGTGCCGCGCGCGCGGTCGCAGTGGTGCCGGGGCGCGCTCGGGGCGGCGGCGTCACGGCTGACCACGGCCGGGCGCGCCATAAATGAACGCATCCCGCGGCCAACCCGAGCGTCGACCTCCCGTTCCGGCGGTAATTGCGCGGGAAATGGGCTCTCATGGCTCTGTTTGGGTCGGCCGCTGCTCTCGTTAGCGCTGACAGCGCTGGTCGATCACCGCATAGACGCCTGCGGCCACCGTACTAATGCTGACGACCTGAGTGGCGCTATCCGCGTTAGATTCGTTTGGCAAATTTGACAGTCAG